GGGACTCTGTGGGACTCAGCAGGACTCTGTAGGACTCTGCGGGACTCTGTGGAACTCAGCAGGACTCTACAGGACTCTGTAGGACTCTGTAGGACTCTGTAGGACTCAGCAGGACTCTGTGGGACTCAGCGGGACTCTGTAGGACTCTGCGGGACTCTGTGGGACCCAGCAGGACTCTGTGGGACCCAGCAGGACTCTGTCGGACTCTGCGGGACTCTGTGGGACTCAGCAGGACTCTACAGGACTCAGCACGACTCTTTAGGACTCTGCAGGACTCTACAGGACTCAGCAGGACTCTGTGAACCCTGACAGACTGACAGAAGCAGAAACCAGAGAAGCCAACAGCTGACAGACGACAGCTGAGATCATCTCTGACTGAAGAACCAAACAGAAAACAGAACCCTGGAACCCAGCCAAGAACCTGAAGAACCTGAAGAACCTGAAGAATCTGAAGGAACATGAAGAACCTGAAGGACCCCGAAGAACCTGAAGGAACCAAAACATTCAACGGATCTTTGTTAAAGATCAGAAAAATCTTAGAAGATCCTCAAAGACTCTGAAGGATCCAAAAGTTCCTGGAAGTTAAAAAGATCCTGAGTCCAGACAAAGTCCACGTTTGGGTTTGATGTGATCAGAAATCGACATCGTGAATTGTTCTGAGCTTCTAAAGACTAAAACCCAGGTGGTACCAGGAACCCGTCAGATGTGTTGATGAAGGAGAACGTTGAGGCTCAGACCGGATCAGCAGGAGCTAGAAGAACCATCAGAACCAGATAACTGACTGGAAGCTGTCTAGAACTTTATACTTTAATACTTTACCACCGTTCACTTCCTGTTGTTGTTCTGTTATCAGAGTCACTTATTCCTTGTTCTCCTCTCTACCCTGTTTATCTGGTTCTTCTGGTTCTTCTGGTTCTGGATGCTGAGTGTCCTATAAGTCGCGTATCGATGATGTTTCTCTGACCACCTGGAGGTTTCTGATGTTTCTGAGGCCCTGAACAAACCCAACAAGGCCCTGGAGCTGTTTCAGGGCGAGCAGCTGACGGCGGCGTTTTAGTGCCGTAATAAAATAAACCCAAACAAAGCGGCGGCGGGTCGGCCCGCATTAACGGGCTGCTGCTGCCGCTTCACACTCAGTTATCTGTCAGAAACCGGATCCACATAGTTCTACGAGGGACACGGCGACCAGGACACACTTAAAATACCCGGCACACATACCGGCAGCGCCGCTCCGATTGGTCGGCCCGGCCGCCGGTCAGCTGGTCGTAAAGCAAAACCTCAGGTCTAAAAATACTCAACAATGAGCCACAAGGAGGAAACAGAGCAGCGGCCCAGCTGCAGGGGAACCCAGTTAGAGAGCAGAACCGACAGGCTGCAGCTGGTCTAAGTCAGGATTAAAGGTTCAAACTGGATCAACTGGTTTCATTATGACACGTTCAGCAAAACCAGACTGAGACGGCTTCACTTCTGGAAAGTTCCTACAGATGTAAAGTTAAAGTGTGTAAAGCTGTGATGGATGATATGTAGGGTTCAGTCTGGAGGAGGCTGATTCACACACAGTCCACTGAAACACTTTGTGTTGACGTTCATTATTTATGGACTTGAACTTATCAAGCGTTTACTTCATCCTACAGACAAAGACTTCCACCAACAACACAAACAGCTGATTGTGTTGTTCTGATTACTACATGATTAGATGTTGGTTAAACTTTATAGAACCGTGTTGACGTTCTGTTAAATATTGTTCCTGAATTGTTCCGTGAAGCCTCCTTCATGGGTCAACGTCTCCAGAAACAAAGACGGAAAGTTTGATGAGAACTACAAGAACATTTAGAACATCTCGTAAAGATCATCCTCATAAGTTGATGAACTCCAACATGACGCAGTTTGCAGCTCTGCAAGATCTAGAACCAACATCTAGAACCTGTGAACTCCAGGTTCTGGGTCCTATCAATGATCCACATCAACATCTAAAACCAGAACCCTGTCTGGTCCAACTTCACCACATCAGGTTCTACTGATGTTAGAACCTCAACAGTTGGTGAAATGTGACCAGAGACTGGGTTCTAGTAGAACCATGGATCCATCCATAGACAGACACTGACAAAGGAGAACTGATCATTAAAACCCGTCCTCTGCTGGATCCAGTCAGTGGTTCTGGACCTCCACGCTGTAGGAGTTTTACTTCTGGAGATATGAAGCCCTGGAAACGACCTCACAGGTTCATGTTGGAAGGAAAACGCATAAAGTCCCGACCAGAATATTTAAAGTCTCAGATTGACCACCACACACTGGTTCTGATTGAAGCTACTTTACATATTTTAACTTATGAGCTATTTACTGTTATTTATAAAGTCTCCCTGTTTTGTAGAATACATTTCATAGAACAACCCGTCAGACTGAAGTGAAGCTGCAGGAAGGAGACGCTGATAAAACGTCAAAACTGTGACTAAAGTTTGGAGAAGAAACTGTTAACGTCAGGATTTAAGGAAACTATTCGTTAGGGGACACTTTAAAAGAAAATAGCATAAAAAGCTGTGAAAATCCCAGAAAGTACCGATTACAATATATATATTATTGGATTTAAATAAGAAAGTTAAAGAAGTGGTGTCGTTGGCACAAACATATATGAACTACTTTTTGCTCATTAGTACACATGATTTGTGTTTTAAATTACAGCAATTATCTGTCAGATAATCACACGTGTGGCTTCTTTAAACAGTAAAAATGTTTTAGTATAAATACGGACTTTTAACGTGGACATGATTCACAGCTGAGTTAAAAAGCACACTCATGTTTTGTTATTTGTCTTTTAACTAAACAGGGAAACTTCTGTTAAATCACAGGAGGTCATTTTAAAAACATAAACCTGTTCAGAAAGCTGATTTCTACCTGACGCTGAGCCGCTATACGTCATGACGTCACCAGTGAACGCGCAGCAGGTGAGCTCACCTGAGTGTGCAGCGCCTCCAGGGAGCACAGCAGCTCCCGGGTCTCCATCGGAACCTCCTCCGCAGCCTCCCGGACCTCCGTCTGCCGCAGCCGGTTCCGGGCCACCATCAGGGTCTGGTAGAAGAGGCACACCGCCACGCCGAGCAGCACCAGCGGCCGGCGGCGGAGCAGCATCCCGGCGGCCCGGAGCAGGAGGCCGGCGGCCCGGAGGAGGAGGCCGGCCGCCGGGGCCAGCAGGCAGCGCATGGAGGGGCTTCACCTCCTCACCTGCACCTCCTTCATCCTGCCCTCCTCCAGGGGCTCCAGGAGTCCGTCAGAACAACAGCAGCTTCAAGAGTCTCAAAAGTTCTGATTCATCTTTTATTTCCACAGAAGTTCCACTAAAGTCCCAGTAAATCCAACAGTCCGGTGGAGTTCGGTGAAGTTCGGCGTCCAGCGGTCCGGTGAAGGCTGGAACAAACACCTCCTGGTGCTGGATGTTCCCCGAGTCCAGCAGAGGCTCCCAGCAAGTTGGTCAGAAGTTTAGAATCTGAAGAAAAGCCGCTGAAGAAGCTCCGGTTCGGGCGGAGACGCTTTACGCGCAGCGGAGCGGACAGAGGTTCTGCTCGGAGCGGCTCTGCGGGATCATGTGGCCGCAAACACGAACCATATGACCGCTGAGAGGAGCGCTGCTGCTCTTCATCCTCCTCCTCCTCCTCCTCCTCTGACGGCTCTCCAAAGTGCGCAACGACCCGCCCGGACGCGTGGATCAAACCCAGCAGCGGCCCCGTTAGAAACTCCGCTCAGGTCCGTTAAAGGGTCCGGTGTTCTGGGAGCCTCCCGGTACAGCCCGGCAGAGATCCGGTAACGGAGCCACGGCGGCGCTGCAGCGAGACGGAAAGTCTGGAGAGAATCACAAACAGCATCTGGTTCCAGTTAAAGCGGCGCAGCTCCGGTTTCAGGGCCGCTGCTCGGACCGGGACCCGCTACTGCTCGGACCGGGACCCGCTGCTGCTCCGACCCAAGATCCGCTGCTGCTCCGGGCTCCGACGGGCTCTGATCCCCGCTGGCAGCCGGACCAGGACCCATACAGGCGGCGGCTCAGCGGGAGGTCAGCGCCTCCTCCTCCTCCTCAGCTATGTCAGGAACACACACATGAAGACACACATGAACACACACACAGGAACACACACATGAACACACACATGAACACACACATGCTCAGCACATGTCCTGTTAAAGTCAGATCCTCACTTTAACAAACAGCTGCAGACCTTCAGACCTTCAGCGGATCAATCAGCAGCAGAAACACTTTAAACTGAACTGTTCCTGGTTCTACTTTGACTTTCAGTATTTTTCAAACAGAACTTTACTAAAAACACAGAACAATCTGAAAACAGTAAAAACCTTTTTTTTAAGTAGTTGATGGACCAGAAGGCCTTCACATAACATTTATATCTCTACATCTTCCCTCTATTCACCAGATAAAACTGTTAAATGCTCAATATTGTTTTCCATCTTCCTAAAAGTATTTATTATATTTCTTAAACAGATGAACATATTAATATAATTACTAATATAATCCACACATTTACATATTTACTGTGAAGCAACATTAGAAACCTGGAACTACTTTTTTCTTTACATAAAGACTTAAAACACAGATGCACTATATTTCACTATATTTCCTTTTATTTGACAGTTGAAGCTGTTAAACTCAGTTTTAAATCTAATAAATATATCACTGACACTACACACAGTTATGATCCGATAAAGATGTTTCTGTGAACTTCTGAAACATAATAATAATAATAGACTTTATTAGAAAAACACTTTACCAGATGCCAACGACAGAAACTGACCTGATCTGAACGTCTGAAGACAAACGACAGTAAAACCAGAAAACTTCCAGTGATTCAAACACTGATTTATTTTTAATATAACGTTTAAATATTTTCACCATGTTGGAAACCAAAGTGTTCCATCAACATGTGAAGCCACACATCAGCTAAATACGACTATCAGACACCTGGATGGATGTAGAACTGATCTGGTGTCAGGTTCTAGCAGAACCCAGATGTGTTCTTCCTCCTAAATGTCATGTGTCTATCTGCTGGACTGATGAAGTTCTGAGGCTCAGAAATGATGGAAAAAGTCCATTAAAGTGATCAATCTGGACCCTCCTCTGTGGACTTCAAGGACCTGGACCTCTGGAACATTCACAGTCTGAAGGTAGAACTCTGGTCAGTAGATAAAGGTGCTGCAGATACAGAACCAGATGTTCTGAGGAGGTTCTGGTTGGTCTGATATTTCATGAACTCAGAAGTGACTCAGCTGGAAAGAACAGACCCAGAAGGAGGCGGAGAACAGAACCGGGCAGACAGAGGTCCTCCTCAGAGGTTAACACGTTCAGGGTTCTTCAGGTCATCATCATGACCCAATACTAGAGTCAGAACTAGAGCAGAACCAGCAGGATCTTGGTTTGTTTAGCTGCAGCGCCACCTGGTGAGGAGGACGGTCTCTACAGTACAGCATGGTGGGAGGACGGCTCACACGTCTACTGGCTGAGTACTGACAGCTTTAAAGGTTTATTGATCCAAATACTACTTTCTATCCAAGTACTAACAGTTTTTAAGTTTTTCCAACCAAAATACTACTTCCTGTCCGTATATTATTATATATTGGTTTGAAAGGTTTGTTTAAAAAAAACAAAAAACAACTTATATCCAAGTACTTAGTTTTAAAGTCTTGTTCCCTCAAAATACTACTTCCTGTCTAAGTATTCAGTTTTAAAGGTTTATTCCAACAAAGTATTACTTCCTGTCCCAGTACTTGTCATTTTAAAGGTTTAATAAACCCACAAGTTCTACAGTTTGTCCAAGTACTAACAGTTTTGAAGTTTTTACCACCCAACTACTACTTTCTGTTCAAGTACTTGCAAATTCAAAGGTTTATTTCACCCAAAACACTACTTACACTCCAAATACTTCAGACTGTGACGGTTTGTTTCTGACTAAATGCTACTCTCTGTCCACACACTTCTAATTTTAAAGGTTTGTTCCACCAAAACACTACTTTAGTCTGATGACTTGTAGTTTTACAGGTTAATTACTACCTTCTTCTCAGGGTGTGCTCCACCCAGACGGTTCTGTTTGGTCGGTGTCTGTGGTCCAGAGCAGCCGGCTGCCCTGAGCCGTAAACAAGTGGTCGCCATGTGATGCGGCTGAAAGACAAAAGGTCCTGGAAGAGACAAACGGTTCTGCAGAGAGCGGTTCTGTGGTTCTGCCGGGTCGTCGGCATCGTGTCTCTTCTTGTGAGTTTCAGGAGGTCGGACATGAAAAGACGAGTTACACCACCAGATTTACCAAAACATCCTGATCATTTTATTGGACTTTTTCTTTTTAAACATCTGTGGACACAAACACACAAACAAACAAACAAACGACACACACTCACACAAACACCACACACACACACACACACGTGGACTCACACAGACTACACACTCACAGACACACACTCTCGGGCTGCTGCAGCCGTCTGACTCTGTACATTCTGCCAAACATCTTCAGGTCAGAAGAGGCTCGGCACTGCTGACGGAGGCGTCCATAGTTGTAGTCCGACAGCTCGTCCTGTTTGTAGTTCTTGTAGCGGGAGGGAGGAGCACGGCCTCGTGGGAAAATGATTTCAGCTCTGAGGTTAATCTGAAGACGGAACTCTGAGATTGAAGGAACTACAGACGGTGAGGAATCCAGGAAACAAAGAGTTGAAGGGAAAACCTGAAGCTTTAAGCTGGAGTTTAGGGAAAAGAAATGAAAGCGTGAGGATTATTTAAAACTTCTTTCTGACTCGACCGTGAAGGTTCAGCTCCTCCTGCAGGCAGACGGTAAACTCTAACCCCTGAACTGTGACCTCTGGAGTCTCCAGCTGAGCTCGACGGCAGAAGAACATTTGTTTAAACAGTTCACTTCACCGAGCAGATTGTTTTACAGTAAATCTGGACACTCGTTTGTCCTGCAGGAGAAAATTACGCAGCAGAAAGTTTCATGTTTAGTGTTCTGTGGTTTGAAAAAAGGACACCGAGGTGCTCCGCAGACAAACAAATTTAAAAATGTTAAAATGGTCGAGAAAAGTTTGGTTCTGTCAATAAAACCTGAAAAACTCTAATTAATGTATTATTTGTAAACAAAGTGGAGAAATTCTGACATAATTTCTGTAACGCCAAGATGGACCCAGTGAAGACAGAAATAATGTGTTTTTTAATTATTTATCTCTATTTATGAGATAAAAGCCTAAACGCAGAGTTAACTCTGATCAAACAAAGCTGGGATTAATAAAGTCAGGATTTTGAGATGAAGCTAAGGTTGATCAGATGAAGTCAGGATGGTTAAACTAACTTTTATTGTCTGTTCAGAATTGTTCTGTTTATCTTTACGGTTATTTTTTTTTTTAGATAAAACAACTTAAAATGCGCTGCGTTCACGTGCTGCAGCCGATCAGGGATCAGTTCTCTTTGAATGAAACGAGCAAAACATAAACAGACGTTTAAACTAAGCTTTGGGTTTAAGTTTGTGTCTGACACCAGCGTTCTGGTCTCCCTGATGACCGATAATCAGTACCGCTATGAGAATAGTTCCTGTTTTTGTTCAGTAAAGTCAAACTTTGATATTTAAATCATTTCCCTGCGACAGTCTTGACAAACCAAGAAGATAAAGAGGACTGAACTGCTGTAGTTTTCTGGATTTAAACTGTTTAGTGTTGACTGAAGCTACAGAGTTTAACTCCAGACGCTCTCCCAGAACTCAAATGATTCCCCCATGTGGCTGTGAATCCTTCAGCTCCAGAGATGTTGGCACAAAGTTCTTGTGGTCAGTGTGTTTGTCTGCAGCCACCTGTTGACCTCCGACCTGATCCAACATGGCCGCCACCGCCGCCGGGCTGAGTCTATTTGTGGCGGCTGCCTCTCCTCTTCATGGCGGCGGTGCACTGAGGGCAGTACCACTTCCCCTTCGGCGCCTCCGTCAGGCCCACGCAGCCGTAGTGGAACCACTCGATCGGACACTGAGGACGAAGACATCGATCAATACCAGAACCAATCGCTACGAACGATAGACTGTGAACTACGTCAAAGGTCCATAAGAACAGAAACTCACGTCTGTGTTGTCGCAGCCGACCATCTCTCCATAAGAAACCTGAGGAGCAGAACCAGGATCAGTACAAGAGGTTGGATCAATAAACCATCAGGTTATCACCAGACCCACCCGGTCACTGGTCACCAGGTCACAGAACATGAGCTACAGTCTACATCCACCATGAAGTCCATGTTTAGTCTCCAGTGACACCAGAACTCTGCATGTTCTCTGATGGAACCACTGAAACTT